ATTAAACAATTACGTATCTCAAAAACGAAAGACGATAGCGAATATCGGATTGCAAAATTTTTCATCCTGTTTAAAGGCAATTTAGAGAAGGAACTCATGTTTTGTGCAAAATTAAAAAGTTTATCCCAATTTTTTAAATTCTTAAGTAGGAAGGTGTTATGTCCCATAACAGAAAACTGCGAAATAATAATTTTGCAATAATTAACAAATTTATAAACAACACCGAAATCCCTGCAATTCCGGCCGGGCAATGTCCTCAAGTGGTTTTAGAGGTGAATTATTGCTAAAACCTACTAAAATGTTATATATGGACTTCATCTTTTAACTATTTTTGTTTTAGATGGTTCCCTAGAAGTGATCGATGCGAAGAAAACACTATTTTACAATGTTGGCAAATTTATAAACATATGAACAACTTACGATTCTAATAGTTTCCTTATTGATAAATATATAGTTAACTGGATATTTGATAAAGATCCTCGATTATTTATAAACAATAATATTGAAGGTAACCTATATCAGAATTTACATGTTCTAAAATGAGTGTTATTTTATCGCGTTTCAACGTAATTTCTACAATAAGAATTGGGTTAACAGTGGTTAAATATATATATATATTCCTTTATATTTCAATGTATTTACTTTCACGTCCATGAAAAAGTTTTAAGTATTTCTCTTGGGAAATATGTCACATCTGAACAACGACGTCTACCATTTTCTACGATGTAATTTTGCTATGCAACCCTTCCCGCTTTGAGATTAGCTGATATTAGAGAAGACAGATGAGCGGTTAGTGGTTAAGGGAGGTTAATAGCTCCTCAAGGAGGAAGTTATTAGCTTCTGTGTGGTCATCGGCATAGGATGCAGAAGGCAACGGGAAACTACTGCATTAAAGATGCTTATAGATATAACCTGATGTGCCAACATGCCATGATTGATGTAATAGATATCGATATTACTGATCATGGGATTCAAATACCAAGATCCGGCAGGAAAAGGTATGGCGAGGATTCCCAGGTCGTAAACATGAGAAATCCTTGCCATAAAACTGAAAATCAAAGAAAGTAATAACAAATATTGGAATATAAGAACACTTCAAAAAGTAGGAAAATTATAGGAAATTAAAACTATAATGAAAGAAGAACATATTTACATTTTAGGTTTGTCAGAAATTACATGGTCATGAAAAGGAGACTTAAACAATGAAGAATTTAGAATGATATACAGTGGAGATGCAAACACAGGAAACAACGGTGTTGCAATATTATTGAAAGGAGAGTGGGCCCAGAACGTCACCAACACCTTCCATGTAAACAGCAGATTAATGATGACAGAATTACAACGAAACCGGTTCACGTGATTCTTTTTCAAGTGTATTTCCCAACAACAAGTTCAGAAAAAAAAGATTTGGAATTGATTTACGAACGAATTGAATAGCTACTGATGACGTCAAATTCCAAGGACAATATCATTAGAACGAGAGACTTCAATGCCACAGTAGGAAGTCACATAAATAAAAAACTACAGGCAGATAGTGATTAGGAAACATGAACGAAAGAGGAAGACGACTTTTAGAATCTCGCCAAAAACCTCGATCA